TTTTTCAAAAAGTGAATTTTCAATAAAGAAATTTGATCCATGTATCCACCTAGGTATAAGTGACGTTCTTCTCAACAATATAACATTACTAGCTTTAAGTGACTTAGCACTGTTTGCGGATGCTTATCGATTACATCGATTTTCTTTCTTAAATACTTTTTTTACCAAAATATAACTTCCTGGAGTTTATTAAAAGATTACAAACCCATATACCGATGTACATGTGTAATAAAACCGTTTATATTCGATAAATTCTTATTAAAAACATACATTAAAACGTTTCAAAAACAAATTAAACTCTTTTGCCTTGCATGTGAACTGCACGAAATCCCCGATATCCCAACTGCATGAAAACCCCTTGTTGCATGCGATTTTTCAGCCGATGACCTACTGAAGAAAAACATAAGTATTTTTCATAATTCAATTTCTTTTTATTTTTTATACGATAGCTTGTTTTCGTACATGTTGGGTTTCCACTTTTTGAGATTAGCCGGTTATGAGCGAATTCGATAAACAATTTAAAGTATATAAAGCAGATTTTGATAAGATTACGAAACGCATTTTAAAAAATAGGCCGTTGTCTTCGAATGCGAAAAAATTAAACGAATACAAATATTCGCTTATCACAGCTTATAATAATATTTTATTACTAGTTATTGGTAATAGTTCGGCCCATACCTGTAATCTCAAAGAAGTCCAAGTTAAATTAGCTCGTTGCAAGGAACAGTTAGCAAAGTGCTTTAATAAACTGAATTGTCGCGTTAGGATTCCACCTGATAGCTTATCGCTAATTTGCCAATCAGACTTAGCTGACTCTGAGTCAGAAGAAGAATTTAGTGACGCCAAGTCAGAAGCTTCGGTACAATTCAGTCTTAAAAGAAGTACTTCACTTCCATCCTTTAAAGATCTGCTAACAATATCCGACGAGCCGTCAACAGCTACCAGTTCACCAAATATTTCTAAATTTTTTCAAGAATTTTTAGACATAGCTACCCCTGAACAGAAAAAATCGTTTATTAGTCTTTGTGCCTCAATCATTAGGGAAAATTACAATGGAGATCCGCTAGCACTTGAATCGTTTATAGACAAAATTAATTTAATTGAAGATTTTGCGGATGAAAACTTAAATACGACTTTTATATCATTTTTGAAATCGAAACTCGAAGGCAAGGCACGTGAAGCAATTCCAACAGAAGTTAGTTCAGTTGGGCAAATAAAAGATGCGTTGAGAAATAGAATAAAGCCAGACAACTCGAAAGTTGTAGCTGGGAAAATAGCATCTTTGCATGTCATAAACAACAATTATACGGAATTTGCTAAGCGTGTCGAGGAGCTTTCGGATGCTTTAGAGCGCTCTTTGATCATTGAAGGTATGACACAGTCTAAGGCTCATGAAATGGCAGTCGAGCAAACAGTAAACGTTTGTAGACTCAATACTCGGTCGGATTTGGTCAAATCAATTTTATCGTCAACTACCTTCAGTGATTCAAAGGACGTAGTGGCAAAAATGATAGTCGAACAAAATAATCAAGTGAAAGAGCGCCAAGTGTTAGCGTTTCGATCACGAGTAAATAGGCCAAATAGCTTTAGAGGTAGTTTCAGAGGGTACAATTTTAATAGGTACAACAATAACAATTTCAAACAAAACAACTCAAATTTCAATAGGTACAATAATAACGCTGATAACAGTAGGTACAGCAATAACGGTTCAAGGCATAACGGTAACAATTTCAACAATAATAGGAATCGGTCATCAAACAACAATCGAAACAATAACAGCAACAATAATAGTAATAGACGTCCAAATTCACGCAGTAATGCTAATGTGCGCGCTTTAAACGCCCACGCCCCTCAGGAGCGAACACTGAGGGCGGAAGAAATGGACAACTAAATAATTCTTTTTCAACAAAAGGCATATACTGTCTAAATCTAAATTACTCTGATTTTATTGAATTGCGAATTAATGGTTCAAACAAATTTTGTACGTTTTTAGTCGACACGCAAGCCGACATTTATTTAATCAAATTTTCTAGCAGTGATAAACATTTTTCTATAAATACGAACGATATAATTCACATTACCGGTGTCACTTCTGATACAGTTTCTACGTTAGGTACAATTACCATAATCTTGACTTTTACTGATTTTTACATTAAACATACGTTACATGTAGTAAGCGATGATTTTAACATACCATCTAATGGTATACTGGGTAAAGATTTTCTAAAAAGTAACAAATGCGTTATCGAATTTTCAATTTTGGCAATTCGCCGGATCCACTTTTTGTAGAATCGCAGGAAGTTGAACACGGTGTATTCACAGCAAGATGCATAGTTAATAGCGGTAACCCAATTATTAAAATTATAAATACCACAGATGAAGTAAAACATGTAAAGAATGTAAATATTCGGACTGAAAAACTTTCCGACTATCACGTTTACTCAATTAATAAGACCAAGACAGAAGACCCCCGAACGAACGAATTAATAAATATTTTAAAAAACCAAATCCCTACAGAAGCTAACAGCAATTTACTTGACCTTTGCATAAAATATGCCGACATTTTCGCTCTTGACAACGACAAAATGACATTTAACAATTTTTATGAACAGAAACTTAGGTTGACTGACACTGACCCGGTATATGTAAAAAATTATCGTCTCCCATATTCCCAACGTGAAGAGATAACTCGCCAAGTTAATAAATTACTAGATAACGATTTAATTGAAGGAAGTTATTCCAATTACAATAGTCCTCTAATTTTGGTTCCTAAAAAGTCTACTAATGGTCAAAAAGCATATCGTATGTGCGTTGATTTCCGCGCAGTCAATAAAAAACTTATTGCGGATAAATTTCCTCTCGCACGAGTCGACGATATTTTGGACAATCTTGGCAGAGCTAAATATTTTTCTACTTTAGATCTTTTTTCTGGATTTCACCAAATCCCCTTACATGAAGATTCACGTGATATAACTTCTTTTAGTACAGACCGTGGAGCATATCGTTGGAAAGTATTGCCATTCGGTTTAAGTATAGCACCCAACTCATTCTCACGAATGATGAGTATAGCTTTTTCTGGTATTCCACCGAACGTAGCATTTTTATATGTAGATGACATTATTTTCATAGGCTGTAGCAAAGCACATCACATTAAAAATTTAGCTAAAGTTTTCGAAACTTGTCGAAAATTCAATTTAAAACTAAACCCAAAAAAATGCAATTTTCTCAGGCCCGAAATAACGTTTTTAGGGCACAAATGCTCAGCGAAAGGTCTGCTTCCAAACGATTCCAAAATAGTTGCAATTAAAAAGTATACTAAACCTACTGACAAAGATGCAGTACGACGTTTTATCCCCAATTTTGCAACTCTGGCAGCACCTTTGAACCAATTAAGTAGGAAAAGAGTAGATTTTGTTTGGGATGAGAAATGTTATGAAGCTTTTCAAGCGTTACGATCAGCCTTAATGTCACCGAAATTGCTACAATATCCAGACTTTACAAAGCAATTTATTATTACAGTTGACGCTTCAAAAATAGGGTGTGGCGCTATACTTAGCCAAGAACAGCAAGGTTGCGATTTACCAATATGTTTTGCCTCAAAATCATTTAACAATGCAGAACAGAAAAAACCAATTATCGAATTAGAACTTTTAGCTATATACTTTGCCATTAAACAATTTCGACCATACGTTTATGGAACACATTTCTTAGTAAAATCAGACCACAGACCATTAGTATACCTGTTCAATATGAAAGACCCCTCTTCAAAACTTTCAAGAATAAGGTTAGAACTAGCGGAATACAATTTTACTATTGAATACATTAAAGGAGAAAATAAAAGTAGGCGCAGACGCACTCTCACGTATAACGACAGACGAAATAAGGGTATCAACGAAAAATATTTTGGCAGTACAGACGAGATCAATGACTAGACGAGAAAACGACAAAATAATACAAAACAAAGACAATAACAAACACGAAAACCCACAGAAATTAAACATTTATGATAAATTTTCTTACAATTTTACAAAAAAGATACCGCGTATTAGATCAGAAATTACTTATGATAAAAATGATAAAATTAAAAACTTACGAATTTGTGCACATATTAAACATAAAAAACTCGAGTTACTTAATTATGTCTTTGCTAACGAAATAATGAATTTCGATAATTTACTTTCGAGGCTTGAAATTGAAGCCAGCAAACACAAAATTAAGGAGATTGAATGGCCAAAAGACGATAAATTTTTCCGTAATTTCACGATTGCTTGCTTAAAAAATCGCGGGAATATAATTTTAAAATCATTACAAATAATTTTAACAGATCCAGTCGAAACTGTGACTGAAAATGACAAAAAACTAAAACTAATGACCATTTATCACGACGACCCAATATCAGGAGGTCACTGTGGAATGAAAAAACTTTATGCGAAACTTAGAACAAAATGTTTTTGGAAAAATATGACGCGTGATGTCGCAAAATATGTTAAAAATTGTCAAAAATGTCTTTTAAATAAAGTAAAACCGAAAGTTAAAGAAAAACTTGTACTAACCCCAACGCCGAACAAACCGTTTGATATTGTTGTTATCGATACAATAGGACCTTTACCAGAATCGAAATATGGTAATAAGTTCGCAGTTACCATTATTTGCGATCTCTCAAAATATTTAGTTACTGTTCCTATACCAGATAAAAGTGCTAAAACTGTTGCATCAGCAATTTTTGAAAGTTTCATTTTAATATATGGCATTATGCACTCTATAAAATCCGATCTAGGGACTGAATATAAAAACGAACTTTTTGAAGAATTAACCAAACTTTTAAAAATTAAACATGACTATTCGACAGCACATCATCACGAAACTGTAGGTACAATAGAACGGAATCATAGAGTATTTAATGAGTACTTACGAGAATTTTTAAATGAATCATATTCCGACTGGGATACATACTTAAAATATTTTACTTTTTTGCATAACACAACCTCAAACACAGTTTTTGATAATAAATTTACTCCATTTGAACTGATTTTTGGTAAAAACGCTGTTTTACCAAACGAAGTACAAAAAGTTAAAATTGATCCAATTTACAACGTTGATAATTATGCAAAATAAGTAAAATATCGTTTGCAAAAATCCCATGCACTCGCCAAAGAACTCGTAACAAAACATAAACTCCAATCGAAGCAGTCATTTGATAAAAATGCACGTCCTGTACTAATTGAAGAAAAAGATACGGTTTTCATACAAAAGGAACCTAGAGATAAACACAGCAATATATATCTGGGTCCTTACACGGTACAGAAAGTAGACGGTGTAAATGTTACGGTTTTCGATAAAACCAAAAATAAATTAAAAACGGTTCACAAAAACCGCATTCAAAAAGTCACATGACTTACTTTTAATGAATTTAGTTTAAAATGCTAGTAAACTTTAAAATTTGACTCAAAACGAAACAGTCACGTCACACAACATATAAATACAAACCATTATTATGGCTAGAAATTAAGATGTAGACTTAATCAAAATATGTACATTTGTATAAACATGCAAGACTCATGAATTGAATTGTAAATCTGATTGGAAACAAAAAAAAAAATATTTTTTAATGTATTTCTATCATTAAACCAAATTTTGGCTTAATAAACTTTGCACATAAGTACATTTCATATTTCATTAATTTAAAATAAAAGGCAAAAAAAAAAA